TAAATAAATTAATTTTAGAAAAAGAAATCAAATTTGTGAAATAAATGCAAAAGAAAAAACTAAAATGGCAAACAAATCTGCACAAACGCCGCTGAAAACGAGCGAAAAACGCCGGGAAAGCAATATGATATTAATTGTTTCGATTTAAAGATATTAATTATGCCGTTTTAATAATAATCATAATAATAATAATAGTAATAATAATAATAATAATAATAATAATAATAATAATGATAAAAATAATAATAATAATAAATAATAATAATAATAATAATAATAATAATAGTTGCAATTTGAAGAAAAGTAAAAAGATTGCAAAAAGGTTTCAAAGAAAATGACAAGCATTCGATGTCAGTGCCCGTGCTGCGCCTTTAATGTTCCATTTTCTTTTTGTTAAATTCAAATCTTTTATTTTAATTTAATTTAATTTTATTTTTTTTCTTTCTTGTGGCATTTGGTCTTTATATTGTCCTCATTCCATATGCACATTCGTATTTAAGTTGCTGCTGCTGCTGTCTTTGTTGCTGCTGCTGTATTTGCTGCTGCTGCTGCTGTATTTGCTGCTGCTGCTGTATTTGCTGCTGCTGCTGCTGTCTTTGCTGCTGCTGCTGCTGTCTTTGCTGCTGCTGCTGCTGCTGCTCAGGTGGCGTCTTTGCCCTGCCAGGACGACTTTGAGGCTTTTTGCGTTTGTATCGTTTTGCTGCAAAAGGGTTTGCTGCACATAGAGAAGTACTAAGTGGCCTTTTCAGCCCGCAAACCCTAAACCCTAAACCCTAAACCCTAATCTCCAAACGCTGTTTGGAGAAAAACTGCAAACACAATGACACGCCGTGGGCAGCGGCTGCTGCTGCTGCTCACAGGGATAGAAGCAACAGCAGCAGCTGTTGCTGCTCCAGCAGCTGCAGCTGCTGCTGACCTGCTGCTGCAGCACAGGGAGCCGCCAGGCAGCAGATTTAACGCGGCCAAACTGCATTTAATTGCATTTGCAAAAGGCGGGACAATAAAAACAAATGCAGCAGCAGCAGCAGCTTTCAATCAAACCCTAAATTAGCGTATAACTCCTCTGCTGCGCTGCTGCATCAAAGCGCTGAGGCGCCCAAACACGTGCCTGTACACCCCACGCACTTCCAGTGTACGTACACCCCAGCGCGCATACACCCCACTGCATGCATGCAGACGGCCCTTTGCGTTCACTTCATTTCTTTTATTTGCAACTTCATTTCTTTTATTTGCAACTTCTTCTTTTATTTGCAACTTCATTTCCTTTATTTGCATTTATTTTTTGCAAATGCAGACACATATACTGCATGCAGCCAGTGCATGCAGCCAGCGCATGCAGCCAGTGCATGCAGCCAGTGCATGCAGCCAGCGCATGCAGCCAGTGCATGCAGCCAGTGCATGCATTCATAGAAGTCCATATAGTGAAGCTTAGCTGTAAATAAGATTATTAACTTCTGTGCAGACTATTGGGATTTATTTGTTTGTATATATGCATATATTATTATAATATATACATATATATTATTATATAAATTGATAAATAAATTGATAAATAAATTGATAAATAAATTGATAAATAAATTGATAAATAAATTGATAAATAAATCCACTTATTGTGTCCATGTGTGTATGTACAGTTGTGCATATGCGCATGCATGCAATGCATTAACTATTAGATGCAGTCTTTATAATGAAATATAAATATACTATCAATTATATATATTAGTAATTATATGGTATATATATGTTACCAATTATATATATATATTAGTAATTATATGGTATATATATGTTACCAATTATATATATATATTAGTAATTATATGGTATATATATGTTACCAATTATATCTATATATATTAATAATTATATGGTATATATATGTTACCAATTATATCTATATATATATATGTATATATATATATATATATATATATATATAATATATACATATATATATAATATATATATTATCTGCAATGCTTCGAAAGCTTTACTTTCTACTTGAAAGCTGCTTCGGCCTTTAATTTGAATAATTTGAAATTAATTGAAATACAAATCTGGAGCCCCACAGAAGCGCAGCAGTGAAAGGGTTTGGTCTTTTCCCAGGGCTGCTGCTGCTGCATGCATGCAGCGCAGCAGCAGCAATTCAAGTTTGATTCAACTTTGGGATTCGAGAGTTAAAACCTTTACTTGGACTTTTCTTTTTGCAATTACCTTTATTGGCTGCTAATATTCCTGTGTTCCAGTTCCTTACTCCTCAGCTAGCAGCAGCAGAAGAGCCCCCCTGCATGCGTCGGCTGCGGCTGCCCTGCATGCAGCAGCAGCAGCAGCAGCAGCAGCAGCAGATTGGGGCTTTGGGGCCCTTTGTTGGGGAGAAGAATTAAAAATTGAACTTCCGTCGCTGGGCGTTGCTGCTGCTGCTGTTTTCGTAGCAGGGAGGAAGCTGCTGCTGCAAGTCGGGGCGGCGAGCAGAGGCTTCGCGGAGTGGAGGAACGCGCGCTGCAGCTGTTGGGATTTTTTCTTTCGTGAATGTTTTGAAATAAGAAAAGATTTAAAAAAAAGAAAAGAAAATGGGATTTCACTTCCAGAGTTACGTCGCAATGGCCGGGCGCGCCATCAACCCCGCCCAGTGGCGCCGCCAGTGGCGCCAGCTCGAAGGAAAACAGTTCTCCGACGTCGCTCAACAAATGATGTTCTGGACAAATAAACAATTTGCACAAATATCTCGCACGTGAGTTCATTTCTTTTGCAAAACGCTTTTCGTTCAGCTTTCTTCAGCTTTCCCCGGCGCCGCGCCGTGCAGCTTCAGGTGTACGTACACCTCAGCCCTCCCTTCGCCGATCCTCTCACCCCAGCTTCCACCACTTCTTTTATTTTGCTGGTGGCTGCGTCGTTTGCAGTTTTTCTGCGGGAATTCTTGCTCTTGTGTTGCGATTAAACGGGTTTATTATTTCTTTTTCGCCACTATTTCCCTTTTTGAATTGTTTTCCTCTTTTCCTTTTCCAGATCCGAATACCGCCGCTGGTGGTGGGCGAACCCCCTGGGCATGGGACTTGTGTTCTACGGCACTTACAAGGTCTGGCACATGACCTACATGGTTCGAAAGCAAAAGAAAAGTAAGTTTGAATTATTTGCGTCTCCAGCCCCCCCGAATTCCCTTTGCAGCTCTTCTTTGCCTTCAAAGCGGAAAAGCTGAACTTCAAATTCAGCTTTCGCTGTCTGCGAATCTGCAGCCGCCCAGCTCGTCGCCGCCGCCTACGGCCAGGGCGGCCAGTGGCTCAACCCTGTGCCCAAATAAAACATTTCTTTTTGGAAAGCAAAAAAGGAAAATCCAATTTGCTTCTTGCTGCTGCTTAAAGCAAATTCGATTCGCCTTTCTTCGCTTACAGCTGCAGCAGCAGCAGCAGCAGCAGCAGCAGGTCTGGCGGATCAGCAGCAACGCTGCCTCTGCACTAATGCGGCTTGTTATGCAGCAGGTGCATGCACTGCATATTTAACAAATTAAATAAATCTATTTATTGTAAATATGTTCTGTAAACTTATGGCATGCAGTTCCATAAACGCATGCCTTATGTATCTGTACTATGTACAAATCCTGCTTTTGAACTGTGGCCATTTTGGCTGGACTGAAGGGCAGCAGCTGCTGCTGCAACGCAGCAGCAGCTGCTGCTGCTGCGCTGCAGCAGCAGCAGGAAGCCTGAGTGTCCTCTAAACTTAGAGTGCGGCTGCTCGCACTCAAGCCAGTTTCCATTTCAAAATCCCCCGCTGCAGCGGGTGCTGCTGCTGCTGCTGCTGCTGCTGCTGCTGCGCAAGACGCACTGTCTAGACACCTGGCATGCGCCGCATGCATGCAGCTGCCCCGACCGCGGTGAGCCAGTTGTGAATGGCTCCTACCTACTTAAGTAGGGTTTAGGGTTTAGGGTTTAGGGTTTAGGGTTTAGAGTTTCGCAGGCAGCAGTGCGCTCCGGGCAACTAGCCAGTAGGCGCCTCGTCGCTGTCTTCCCCTTCGCTGCTGCTGCTGCTGCTGCTGCTGCCGCTGGAGAGGACCGTGACCACTGGTCTGCTGCTGCAGCAGGTCTGCTGCTGCCGCGCCGCCAGCGCCCGCTGCAGCGCGTCCAAGGGGGGTCCCGGCGCAGCAGAGTCCTGCATGCAAGAAAGCGCAGCAGCAGCAGCAGCAGCTTCAGCAGCAGCAGCAGCAATTCAGTAGCAGCAGCAGCAATTCAGTAGCAGCAACAACAGCGCCAGTAGCAGCAGCAGTAGCATGAGTTGCAATAGCGACAGCATTGGTAGCAGCATCGTCAGCAGCACAACTAGCAGCAGCAGCAGCAGCAGCAACAGCAGCAGCAGCAGCAGCAACAGCAGCAGCAGCAACAGCAGCAGCTTTACTTGTGAAGGCCCTTCAGGCAAATCGACGAGGGCAATGCCCATCTGCTGCAGCCGAGAGTCTGGGGGCAGCTGCCCCTTCACCTCGAAGACGCCCACGCCCACGTCTGGCAGCAGCAGCAGCAGCAGCAGCAGCAGCAGCAGCAGCAAACGCAACAGCAGGAGCAGCAACATGAAGCAGCAGCACGGTGCAGCTTGCTGCTGCTGCAGCAGGCTGCAGCAGTAGCAAGTTGCAGCAGCAGCAAGTTGCAGGAGCAGAACGCTGCAGCACCAGCAGGTTGCAGCAGCATTCATTTGCAGTTGCAGCAGCAGCAGCAGCAGCAGCAGCAGCAAGTTGGCCTAGCTAGCAGTCTGCAGCAAAAAGTTCAACTAGTAAAAATAAGTAAAGACAATTAACTAGCAGCAGCAGCAGCAGCGGAGAGTTGCACTGGACGCGCCTAGAGGAAAGAGAGCTGCAGCAAAGCTGCAGCAAACAGCAGCAGCAGCAGCAGCAGCAAACAGCAGCAGCAGCAGCAGCAGCAAACAGCAGCAGCAGCAGCAGCAAACAGCAGCAGCAGCAGCCGCAAACAGCAGCAGCAGCAGCAACTCGCGAAGACCCACCCAGTTCCACCACAGGGCCCTCCGCGTCCGAATCTAACTCTAATAATAGGGAGTTGCTGGCAGCAGCAGCGTCGCTGCTGCTGCTGCTGCTGCTGGGGGCAGTCGAGCTAGCGTCACTGCTGCTGCTGCTGCTGCTGCTGCTGCTGCTGCTGCTGCTGTTGGTTTTGTTTTCTGCAGCTTGTTTGAGGAGCGGCAGCAAAGACTGGCAGCGTTGGGAGAGGGCCGTGGCTTGTGCTGCTGCTGCGATGGCGGCGCTGCGTGCTGCTTCCTTGGTGAGCACGGGAGGAGGGCCCCCGCTGCTGCTGCTGCTGCTGCTGCTGCTGCTGGTGGCAGCAGCAGGCGTCGATGCTGCTGCTCCCAGGAGCTGCTCCAGCTGCAGCAGGGAGCTGTCGGCTGCCATGGCGGCTTTGCCGCCCCCCGCGCAGCTGCAGCTGTTGCTGCAGCTGTTGCTGCTGCTGCTGCTGCGAGTGAAATAGCAGCAGCAGCAGGAAGAACAACAGCAGCAGCAGCAGCAGGGGCTCCGCTGTGCTTCAGCAGCAGCAGCTGCAGCAGCAGGGGGTGCTGCGTGGGCTGTTGTAATGAGCAGCTAAGCAGCAGAAAGTGCTGCGGGAGTATTTGAAATTGAAATAAAAACCAAATTAGTTCAATTTGCGTTTCACGGCTAGTTCGCGGGTTACAGCAGCAGCAGCAGGGCAGGCAGCGCAGCAGAGGAGTTGCAGCAGTTGCAGCAGCAGCAGCAGCAGCAGCAGCAGCAGCAGCAGCGCAGGAGCTGCGCGGGTTTATAGAGGAGTTCTACTGCAGCGGTTGGTTGTTGGAGGGTTTTTGTTTGTTATTTTGCGCAGCAAACAAAGTGAATTAAAGGAGGAGCTGGTTAATAACTGCAGCAGCAGCAGCAGCAGCAGTGCGTTGCTGCTGCTGCTGCCCCGCAGCGGGTGCTCTGCCGGCCTGCGTGGCTGCGCTGCTGCAGCAAAGCTTGGTTTTGGCCTTGTTCTTCTTGCTGCTGCTGCTATTTCGCAGCAGCAAACCAACAACAGCCTTCGAAATTCCACAGCAGCAGCAAAACCGCACCACCACCCCTCCCCCGCAGCAGCCGCAGCAGCAGCTGCAGCCGCAGCAGCAGCAGCAGCAGCAGCAGGTCTCGCCGCCGCAGGGCTGGCCGCGTGTCGCATCGGCTGCATGTGTGGGGCAGTGCCAATTCCCTGATATCCCGCAGCAGCCTCTCTCTCCACCTGCCCTCCAAACAGCACCCCCCCCTGCTGCTGCTGCTGCTGCTGCTGCTGCTGCTGCTGCTGCGATGTCGGACGCGGAAGACGTGAGTTTCGAGCGGGCTGACGCGGGGGCCTCCCTGACTTACCCCATGCAAGCGGGGGCTATTAAAAAGAATGGTTTTTGTATGTTAAAGGGAAATCCCTGCAAAGTCGTGGAGTTCTCCACGGCCAAGACCGGCAAGCACGGCCACGCGAAGGCGCACATCGTCGGGCTCGACATTTTCACCGGCAAAAAGTACGAAGACGTTTGCCCGACTTCGCACAACATGGAAGTGCCAACTGTTAAGAGATCAGAATATCAATTAATAGATGTAGCTGATGATGGGTTTGTGTCTTTGCTGCTGGAAAACGGAGACTTGAAAAGCGACTTGACTCTTCCGAGGGACTCGGAGGGGAACTTGGATGAGGTCGCGCTGCAGGTTAAGGCGCTGTTTCAGGAGGGCAAGGGCGTGCTTGTCAGTGTGCTGGCGGCCTGCGGAAAGGAGAAGATCGTCGCTTGCAAGGAACTCTGAATTGCTGCTGCTGCTGCTGCTGCTGCTGCTGCTGCTGCGCTGGTGGTGGGGGTGGCGGTGGTGGCTGCTGCAGTGGTGGGGGTGGCGCAGGAAACGGACTGAGGGCGCCGCGCCCGGGAACGCTCTTGCAGCTCTTCGCGTTTGTTTTCGACTACTTCTTTAGCTTTTGCTAGCTTTCATTTAGCTCTCGTTTAGCTTCTTTTAGCTTTTATTTAGCTTTTTTAGCTTTTATTTAGCTTTTTTAGCTTTTATTTAGCTTTTTTTAGCTGTTTTTAGCTTCTATTTAGCTTTTTTAGCTTTTATTTGGCTCTATTTAGCTGTTTTTAGCTTTTATTTAGCTTTTATTAGCTTTTATTTAGCTTTTATTTAGCTTTTATTTGGCTTTTTTAAGCATCTGTTTAGTTTTTTTTAGCTGTTTTCGGGTGTACGTACACCGCGGAGGCGCGGGAGGTTTGGGGGAGCGCGTTGGAGGTTTTGTTTCGCAAAACTGCTCCGGAAAAGGACTTTTTTGCTTCAAAAGTTGTTTTATTTCGTTCCAAATGGTTTTATTTCTTTCTAAATTGTTTTATTTCGTCCAAAATGGTTTTATTTCGTCCAAAATTGCTCCACTTTTCCCAAAATGGTTTTATTCTTCTCAAGTGCTTCTCAGCAATTCTTTCGCGGCTTCTTCGCGCCGGGAGGAGCCGAGTTTATGCATGCAGTTGAATATAAATGTTCATTATTTATTTATTTAT